GGTGTGTAAAGCTTGATTTGTTGTACTAGAGTTGTAATTTTCCAAGTAAGTGTCCCTAAAAGCCACTTCCTGATTTTTTCCCCAGTAAACAAGGCAAGCAATTCTGAGCTCTTCCACAAACACCTAGACATCTAGATGTACATTAATCTCCACTGAGAGATGAATCATTTTACCTGTACAGACAAGCTAGCTATTAAGAGGGTGGTTGGGGTATGCTACTGTTAGGATTTAAGGGTGTCTTCCTGCTGAAATCTTCATGTTCTCAGTTTGAAAAGACCTCAGATCAGATAGCTATGTAAAGAAAGTGCTATTCACCCAGTAAACCCAAAAACAAATGCATAATGTTGGCTGTAATTTGCCTTTTTGACATTTCCTTCCCCAGTAAGACCATTTAAGTGTGTGTTAGAGAAGGATTTTTTTTTTTGGTTAGTTTTGGTCTGGTTGGGCTTGTGGAGCTGGGGATTGAACCACAGTCCCCTGTGCCTGAATCCATTTGCCCAAGTGGCGCTTTAAACAACCGAGCTATCCGGCAAGTCCCCTTAAGTGTGAGTTAAACAACTATAGAATACTAAATAAAAAGTTTGGGGCCAGGGAGATAGCTCAGTAGAATAAGCGCTTGCCTGGCAAGTGCAAGGGCCTGAGTTCAATCCCCGGTTCTGGGAAAAAAAAAAAATGTAATAAATAAATAAATTTTAAAAAAGTTTGGCTAAAACCAACCATGAAGCTCGAAAAACAAAAACAAAAAAACAGCAAGAAATTTTTTTCTTCAGGCCTAAAACCAAGCAAAGAGAAAGATTCAGGTTCCTAACAGCTTGCATAGCAAATTAATCTGGACTGTGATTCAATTCTTGGATATACTAGTATTGGGGATACTGGTGATTTTATATAACACTAAAGGTGTGATATAAAAGCGTGAAGAGATTTTCAGGTGACTCAGCTCACATGAGAATGATGACAGTGCCAGTAGGAAGAGTGGCATCTCAGAGGCTGATGTGGGAAGCCAACCGCTTAGCTACACAGACGAGACACGAAATAACATCAGCATCCGGGTGAGGAGTATATAACTCGCACCTTTGCAACTTTTTATGTCTAAAATTATGTCAAAATATAAAGGCTACTGAAAATAAAATACTAAGTTTCAAGCTTTGCTTCTGATGCTTGGCTTCTCTTGGATTTAGATTCCTTGTCTATAACATGGGATAGCGACAGAACTCTTTTCCTGCCTGGTTATTGCAAGAGCCACCACGGTTTGAGTAAACAGATGCCTTCTGTAGTAAGGTATGCAGTGGCACTGGCCACTCCTGCAAGGCAGGGTCTGCTGGGATCTGAGAGAAGCAGTAGGAGCCAAAGGTGTCCACAACATAGGCAGGGGTCATGGGAACACCAAAGACCAATTTATTATAAAACACCAACAGAACCCTAAGTTGTCTTTAGAAATTCAACACACAGATCAGATTTTCCAAGGATGTCGACTTTATCAGTGTCAGTTATTTCATAGCTGAGATAAGGACAGAGGTCATGAGAACAGGAAAGTGGCCAACAAAAGGAAAAGCAGCAGCTTCAAAAACACAGAATTCCCTTGTTGGAAGCTGCTGGGCCATAAGTCAGTTATCAGCTGCAAATGTGCTTAGTAGAGATGGGAAGAAAGAGGCATTTTCTGGTCCTATCCTACGCCCTTAGAACCTAGTCAGAGATTTGGCGAAAGCATTCACAGCAAATTCTGGCTCAGCACTGCCACCAAGTGGATCTTCTGATGTCGGATGAGGTTGCAGTGGCGATTAAAGCTTTTCCCACATTCCAGGCACTGGTGAGGTCGCTCCCCCGTGTGACTTCTCTGATGCTCAATGAGAAATGAACGGCGACTGTACCTTTTATCACACTGGCTGCACTGATAGGGCTTCTCTCCCTTGTGGATTCTTTGATGCTGGATCAGACCTGCGCTCTGACTGAAGGCCTTTCCACACTCTTTACAGTGGTACCGCTTCTGTATATTGTGGATTCCTCGGTGATTAAAGAGCCCAGAACTGCGACTGAAGGTTTTCCCACACTCATTACACTCGTAGGGTCTTTCTCCAGTGTGAGTTCTCTGGTGTCGAGTGAGCCCTGAGCTCTGAGCAAAGCTCTTTCCACATTCCCCACATTGATGCTGCCCACCTGCCAAGTGGCTTCCCCACTGCCTCTCCACTCCATCCTTACGCTCACCAACTTCTCCATGTCTGGGGTTCTGCTGTGACATTGCCCAGGGCAGATGATGAGACGTTTTCCCACTTGATTCCACTCCCTGTAGACAGTCTTTCCCTAGCACCAACTCTCTGTCTTTAATCTCAGTCATTTCATCTGAAACAAACAAAAAAGACAAAGTGAATATTTTTTTGTTCTCTAAGTCCAGAAGAGGACAATGGGTCACAGAATGGAGAAGAGTCTAGCCACAGAAAGATGTGAGCACCTACCCCAGTCTGCCTTCCTAGCTAAATGTAGTTTGGTCATCCCTACATGGATGTGATCTGGAGAGAAATACTTCTCAGACAGGGATACTCTCCTAGGAAAGTTGCTCCACTCATTCACTTATGAAACACAAACTAAGTTTCTACTACTCCAGGTGCTTCTGGCTGGACTTCATGACTTCCAAATCCCAGACTGTGCTCTGGCTTCTCCCTTCTTGGAAGCTGTCATCTCGGTTAAGAACAGGGCTCATCCTTGTACGCCCCTGAAGTCTTCTGTATTTGTTCAGCGAAGTCCATCTTTATTCCTTGATTTCTTACCACAATTTCTGTGCCTCATCCACTGTACTGTTGTTTTCCTTGGATAGGGTCAATGTTGCCCAGGTTGGGCTCAAACTCCTGGGTTCAATTGACCTCCTTGCTTTAGCCCCTTTAGTATCTGGGACATAGCATGTACCACTTGACCTGGCCCTGCTGCACTCTTACCTTGTCTTCTTCTATTTTTTCTGTATGCCATAGCATGTATCACCTTCTAACATACTGATGCTGCTGTGTATACCACCTTATTTTTTATGCTTACTATTATCTTTTTCATCCTAAAATCTAGTCTCCTTAAAAAGCTAGACCTTTGTATTTTATTCCCTGACAATCATACTTGGCACATACTAACTCAAAAAAGCTTATTGAATGAATTAAATTAACTGAAGCAAAAGAACTGAAGCCTATCTCACTTACTAGTAAGGCCTCAGCTCACTGGCAACTAAGGGAAAGGCTACCACCCTGGACTGACCCATCTTAGGTGTCCAGCCTACCCACCAGAGTCTGATTGCTGGGGTATGAAGGTGAGAACTGAGAGAACCAGACCCAGACTGCCAAACCCTGGAGAGCAGTCTCTGTGGAATCCCAAGGCTGCTTCAGATGCTAGCTGTGATTCTACCTAGCCTGAGAAGCCCTCCTCCTCTGGAAAGTATACCTGGCTTTTCCCCACCTCTAAGGAGCTTTCTTTCCCTGATAAATATATTCTGCTCTTTAA